AATATCCCAATGCTCGTGACCCTGGCCCACGACCCATGCTGCCAATGTCTATATTAGTCTCGACAATATTCCTTCTTCATGGCATGGTGATATTTTACCCCGTCGCAACCAGGGCCGTAGTTCAGCTGGCAATCAGGGGCAGAGCAATAGTCAATGCCTCTTCCACACCATCTGATATCCATGTCAGCATGTTTTGGTTTTTGTGAACAGACAAATGACATACCCTTCGGCCGAGCAACAGTAACCTGCCGCGCAGCTTCCACCACTGGCGCCACATTTGCCGCTGGTGTTTTCTTGTCGTTTGTCGGCGTGATGCTGAGGCTTGGGGGATGGTGGGTGCCTTTTGATCACATTGGGCTGTTGGACACCCTGGGACCACCTACGGCGAGCTCCCATCTCAGAGAGGAACTTTCTCCCACCCAAAATCTTGGGAATATGTTGGCCTTCATGATCGCCGTGGGCCGCTGCCAAGCCCAGGTAGGCGGCAAGGATGGTAACAAAAAGCTTCATGGCTGGCGAGAGCTTTTGATCTACCTATATAGACAAGGAAACCCGCAAGAGAAAACACGAGAGGTCATGGAGCTTATATAGAGATTGACAACATGACACTTGTTGTATGAGGGACAAACTAGACAGTCGAGGCCTAGTTTTTGAGAATAGGGGCCAGAAAGGGCGAGGAAGCCATCTAGGACAGGCTGCTGTTCCCGTGGTGGCACTGGACCTTGCAGGCACATGCGGTAGGGTGACAAGCGAATATGAAATAAAAATATTGATGTAAGGCCATTGGAAAAGGTGGTCTTGAAAACGATAAATGCCACCAAGCTGGGCACACCTTGTGAGCGCCATGATACCACACGGGTGGTATTCGTCAGGATGTGCGTATCATTCCTATTTGCGGAGCGCGGGAATTAAGAAGCCATGAGAACTTTTCATGATGTAGCGGGGAACTGTATAGAAGGTATGATCGTCTCCGGCCCGGGTGGTAAACGAGGCCACCTCAAGGGTCTTCTGGAATAGACCACGAGACTGTCACTGGGGGATAAGTGAGTGGCAAATGCTGGAAAGGAGTTAGCAAACAAAAGTCAGAAACAAGACATGTCATGCAATGACATGTCTTTGACCAGACACAAAGAATTCCGACACAGCTCATAATCTGAGTCTGAACCTGAGAGAACGTCCCTCGAAAGCGAGCAAGAGTGGTGTGAGCACCGGAAGTATTCCCGGATGCCCTGAAGCTACCAGATGGATATCGGCCCAGGTGGTAGCGATCAGCCTCACGGGCAATGGTTGCTTTCCGGCAGATCTGGTTTCTTGGTCTTTCTTGGACAAAGCTTGTTGAATCGTACCGAGAGCTGACGTGGCAGAATGCTATAAATTTGGAGAATGGACGCCTGAAGTGGACGACAATCTCCATAGGGTATTTTGGCTGAAGTCGGGTCTACGACGGCCGTGGAGAATCGGAACGCGCGGCGGATGAGGATTGCAGGTTGGACGTCAAGGTTGCTTCTCTAAATGTTGGAAATGCAAAAGGTATGAATTAGGTGGCATGGATTGGTTGAACTTGTAAAGTCAACTGGGCGGGTTCGGAGGAGTGTAAGAAATGTGTCGAAGGGATTGTGTGGATGGGATGGCGCATCGTGCCCCTCTTTCTCAGTCTCGAAATCGACCGATAAAAAGCTTAAATTCCTGTCGCCATCCCATACATCATGGGAACAGTCGAGTGGAATAATGTCAAAAGTGACCAATTCCGCTACTACCAGAGCGCCGTTGCTGACCAAGACTACCTATACGAAATTATATTGCCACAACGCCATGGTAACGTGCCAATGCATCCTGCCTTTTTACCTTCCCACCCCGTGTTCCATTTCCAACGTTGCCAGTTCCTACCAAACTCATCGAACCAACACCTCATTCGCGACCCGTCCCCTTATCCCCTGGACACCGCTGCCTCTCGAGCTTCATCTCCATGATCATGGTCAACTCTGGGCAATATTGAAATATCTTCTTCCTTTGCTCAGGCTGCTTCCAGACAGCATCAGCAATGTTATTGCCACCATCACGAACATGGTAGCCCATGGCTCCCTCGCGGTAGACGTCTTCTACCGCCAGAGCCTCTTCAACACCCGACGCAACCTTGGCGCCCGGCAAGACATAGACGCGCTTTCCAAACCACTCGTCCTCGGGGTCGCTGTCGTTCAATCTGGCTTGGAAGCTGAGCACCCTCTTGATGGTTGACACACGTCGAAGTGACAGACCGCCATTGCCCGCAAAATGATCATCTGCCCTCCTCGGTGCGCCAACAAAGTCCCAATCCAGCCAGTCGTTCAAGCTGTCCTCGGAATTGGCGCACAAGATGCTGTCGGCCTCGTACTTTAACAAATATTCGACGCCCGGCAAGAACTCGTCGTAAAATCGGATATCCGTCAGTGTTCGAAACACTTTCTCCTTGGAGTCAATCTCCCAAGGCTCCGGCAGCACCATCAAGTCCAGCTTCCCGATGATTTGGCGGTGTTTGACGGCCGCCGACTCCTCCATGCCCGTTACACTACCTTTTGAGCCTATGAAGACAAAGCGCCATTCAGGGGGCACCACGTTCATCATGTACAAGATGTGCGGTACAAGATGCGGCAGTGGCCTTGGCTCGATTATGATGGCGACTTTGGACGCATTGTATGCCTCAGAAACCTCCACCGACGTGTCCCAGTCGACTTGGATGGATGGTAGCTTCAGGAGCGCATCGTTTAATCTCGCCTTGAACGTCTCCTGAATCACTGGCTTGTAGTGCGGAAACAGGGAGGCAAACCACCAGCTGAATGGACCGGATTAGCAGGCTGCTCAGGTTTGGCAATTTGAATGTTGGGATAAGCTCACGTCAATGCCAGGGAAACCAGCAGGAAGACCTTGGTTCGCGTAATGGTGAATGGGCCAGGAAACGCGCCTGATGTCGGCGATGTCGCCATGGTGAAAATGTGATGTCGTCGCTGGAAGTTTGGGGCCGGCGGTGGAGAAATCCTAGGTCATGATGGGATGGGAGATATGATCACGACAGTACCGACAACGGACTCACTGGTTCATTACAGCGAGGTGTGTCAGATGCGAAGGGGAATTGAAGAAATTCCAAACGAACCGAGATGCAGGCTGACAGACAGGGAGAGGCAAGAAGTGGGATGCAGGTACCTTGATGGTACATTCCGGGGGGGGACCAACCACTCACACGCTGCCGGTGGTCTTCCCCGACTTCGACTTTCGGAATTGCACCATCAGCCCTCTGAAAGCCCGAATTGGTGCCATTAATAAGGGATCCTGCAGATCATCCCCAGCACTGATGACGGGAGCACAGCGCCTCTTCATTTATGAATGCAGTCTTGGCAGGTCAGACCGCGTTCCTGGGTCAAGTCTAGCTGGAAAAGGCTAAGTCATTAATGGATTGTTTTCCTCGATGACAATGATGAAATCACCGACGGCTTTTTTTCTCACCAACTGAGCATTGTGGTACAAAAGCAGAACCGAATTGGCATCGGACCGGAGTGCTCGGGTTGCCAGACATGACATCTGGTCGCGCACCGATAGCCCGTCGACCACGAAGCAATCAAAGCTGCGCCGCTCTGCATCAACTGCACCTGGGCTCTCGTCAGCCATTCCGGATTGGGTCTGAAAGCGGGAGAGCCCTCAAAAGTACCAACCAAGTATCGCTCACCAGGCTCTCAGCTGAACAGAAGGATCGCAGGGAGGGGCGAAGGGGGTGATCACATCCCCTTTTTTCCCCCTTGTAATCAGATACTGCAGTAGATAGCGCGTGTCAGACATTGCATTACTGCTTCTCTCCCTCCGACTGACGAGAGATCTGTCTACACCACGCATCATCACCACGTACGGGTTGACGACCATCTTTCCGCCGAGATGCTATAGCGCGATCGGCTTACTGAGGGTCCTCTCCACTGCTACGGTGCCTTGAGAGCCGCCAATAGCGAACAATGGACAAGCTTGCGCAGACCCTGGAGCGGGTACGCGACTTTGCTTCAAATTCAAGTGGCGGCCCGCGCATGGTTAGGTTTAGAGAATCCACCGCCGAAGCGGTATCATTTCTCGACAACCACACTCCTCGCGCGGGGAGCGTCAGAGAATCCGCCTCCGGGGCGGTGTCCTATCTCAACAAACACTTTGCAGAGAAGAGAACGGCGTTCGGGGAGGTGAATTTCAGCGAGAAAGTAGTCATGTCATGGCAAAAGGGGAAGCTGCTAGGGAGCGCGCTGTGGGGGAGGACGAGCAGGCGGATGCGATTGATGGGAGGAGTGTTTGTTTTCTTGTAAGTGCAGCGCAATCCGTTTAGTATCACCACCATCACCACCATCGCCACCATCACCACCACCACCACCACCACCACCAGAAATTCTACTAACACACCACCACCACCACCACAGAGCCCTCGCAACCTACCTCTCCCACCTAGCCATCGAATCCTCCCTCATCACCCTCCCCTCCATCACCCTCACCAACCAAAAACACCACTACCAAGTCCAGGCAAGCCGCTACAACGCCTCCAAGGTCGCTCTCCTAATTGAAAACCGCCCCGACCCCATCCTCGCCCCCCTCATGCTCCACTTCATGGGCGTGGTCCCCCCCGACTGGCGCTTCCGCTTCATGGGCTCGTACGAATCCGTAGCCCACATCAACAAATCCTCCGCCATCCGCTCCCAGGTCGCCGCGGGGAAGCTAGACCTGACTTACATCCCCTCCAACATGACGACGGGATCCCAGGAGGAGATCTCCCGATTCTTGACCAACCGCTGGTTATACGAAGTGGTCCTCCAACCAGCCGAATGGCTGCTCGTCTTCCAGACCGACTCCATCCTCTGCGCAAACTCACGAAGGAATCTAAACGAATTCTTGGAATACGACTGGGTGGGTGCGCCCTGGTCGCCGAATGCTCGGTACGGTGGTAACGGCGGGCTCTCACTTCGCCGTGTGAGCGCCATTGTCGAAGTCCTAAAACACCAAACGCGAAAAGACGGCTCCGAGCCGGAGGATGTCTGGCTTTCTGACAGGCTGGGCCACCGGATCGGGAATATGATGGCCAACGGCAGCGTGTCGAGTGCCTTTTCTGGGGAGCAGCATTCGGGGAAAAAGGTTGATATCAACAACCCTGACCCTGCCTTGACTGCGCCGGCGCCGTTGCTGCCGGATGAGGAGCTGCCGTCTAACGGGACGTTCCCTGTAAATGGTACCGCGGGGGAGCCGGTGAAGCCTTATACTGAGGGGGTGGATGACTGGCGGCATGGGTTTTATGAGCCGATGGGGTATCATACTGGGGGAGGGGGGAAGTATCTACATAGCAAGGTGTGGGGGACGCCAGAGTTGAGGAAGCATATTTGGGATTATTGTCCCGAGGTGAAGATGACGTTGAAGATGGATGCGGCCAAGTTTATGCCGGGGAATTGTAACCCGAGGTGGAAGAGGGGGGAGTATTTGGAGAATGGGGAGCAGGCGGATGTGGAGGAAGAGGGGGAGGGGGATGAGTGGGTGATGGATACGGAGGTGATTGATGGGAGGGAGTATCCTATTTTGAGGGGGCTGACGGCTTTTTAGGAGGTTGGGATGGCGGGTTTTGGTTTGGCGTTGGGGGTTTGTTTTGATACGTGAGAATTTACAAAACCGTGAACGGTGCAACATTTTGGATATTTGCCGGGAAAAGAATGTTGTTAAACTCTACCGTGAAGCTGTCTCATGACCTGACGTTCGTTGTGGCTTCCTGCTTGTGTGACGTAGAAGTCGGTCGCCCTGGCACCACCATAGGAGGATGCAGCCGGCCGAAAGGATTGACCAGGTCTTCAACCGCAGCCAGGGATTTATCTGCTCAGCTTAATGTGAGATATACGCTTCATCCACCCCCTTCTCAAAAATCAAAATCTCTCCATCACGTCCACCTCACGACTTCCTCGCCCCAGGCAGTATAAAAAACGTAGTTATACTCCTCGCAGCCACCTGCCCACTCACCGTCCCGTCCGCCCCCAACGTCGCCGGCGTGCTCGCCGCATTCCTAGTATTATCCGACACAAAAGCCTGCGCATAACTCGGCGTCCCCCCTCCACTAACCCGAACACTCACATTCACCGCACTCCCCGTGGTAGAAATCACCACGACAGCAATCGTCCCATCCTCGTTCCTAAACGCCGCCGTCCTCAGCCCGCTACCCCCCGACGTACCAACCCTGACCGCCCCCGGCCGGACATACCTGCTCCAGTTGGCAAACGCCCAGAGCCTTTTTGAGACTTCATAAGTGTTTGTCCTGTTGTCCACCCGGATGATCTTTTCGTTGGTGTTGGGGTTGGGCCACTGAACCCCCTCCCAGTAGAGGTACCCCGACGCGTTGTAGTTCACGACCGCAGAATATACGTTATTCGCCCAGGTCAAGCCCTCCCCTGCACCGCCGTTGCTGTACCAAGACGTCGTCCACTGCCCATTCAAATCACATTGCTCAGAAAACCAAACAGGGTTCCGACTATTCCGCGGGCTTGACGGTCCACCAGTATAAGTGTGACTCGTCACAGTCTTGAGCCTTCCTTCTTGCCCTTGAGAGCGAATCGAGTTGATCATGTTGACGGCGCTGCCCCAGCCCATCGTCTCGCAGCAGGCGATGCCGAGTTGGCTGGTCAGGTTGGCGGCTTCGAGGGTTGGGTAGAGGATCTTGATAAAGTCGGCTGCTTGGTTCCCGTCTGATCTCATGCTCGCGTAGTGGCGGTGTAGTCTGGCTCGTTGAGGAAGCCGAGGTGGGTGATGGGGACGCCCTCCTGAGCATAAAACTTGATGTAAGCTACCAGGTAGTCGGCGTAGGCCTGTCGCCAGTCTCCGGATGAGCATGATGCTCCCGGGACCCCACAGAGGGTGCCGCCGTTGGCGTCGTTGTTGTTTGTTTTCATGTAGCCTGGGGCTGACCAGGCGTCTGGGAAAGCGTCAGAGACCGCGGGAAAGGGGGGGAATTAGGGGTGTGCTTGCTGGCGTAAATCTGCTTCACGCGGTATTGCTGGACGGCTTGTTGGGATACCCAGAGCTGGCCACTGTCTTTGCCGTCCCAGACATACTGGGGCGTAGCTCTTGGGCCCCCCGGATTGCGAGGGGCGATGGTGTTCATGAAGTCGGAGTTGCTGTTGGGTGTGGAGCCAATGCCATTGCGGAGGATGGTGAAGCCTGCTCCGGTGGTGCGGTTGAACAGGAGGTCGAGGAGCTCCTTTTGCTTGGTCTTGTCAGACATGTTCGTGATGAGATTGGCGCGCTGGAAGGCGAGACTGAAGCCGAAGCCATCCATTTTCTGAAAAGTGCGGGTGAGGTCGACGGTGATGGTGGAGGACTGCTGGCGGGGACCGAGGGTGGTTGTGCCAGGGGCAGCAGCGGCGCCGGTGATGGCAGCCGCTGCTGTGAGGAATGTTCCGGCGAGGCGCATCTTGGCTGGGCTTTGGGGGGAGAGATGGTGGGTGTGATAACTAGGATCGTCGTCTCTCGGGGGGAAGGGGATTCTTTACGGTTTTATACATGATGCATGTGTTTGCCATGTGCCCCGAATTTTGTTCTCTTTTGAGCCCCCCCTCTCATCGTGGTACGTTTCTGGGAAAGTCGATATTACCTTGTATAAGGCATATTAATTGCCCGTCTTCCGGCATGCTGTACTATGAGCACCCGTCTGTGCTATGAATTCTTGACATATTGATGAAGCTGTGTTCTTTGGTGGTCTGTATTAGCCAGAGTTGCTAGTGGTGTCTCTCTCAGATACAGCCAAACATTGCAATGGCTTTTCTACCAACCTGGAATTCAGTTGCTCCAACAGCCAACACCACCAAACTCACGATCTTTCAACTTGGAGTTCCCCATCATATCTCTATATGATCCAACATCTTGGCTGGCACGCTCTCCGCAGGACTCTTAGAGTGCCATGCCATGTAGTAAGTTGTCCATGACCCAAGAAGCGGTTAAATTCATTTTCTTCGCCCACGAACGAGGGCAGCTCCCTCCCCAACCCCCGAGTTTAACCAGGTACTACCCACGGTCGCCAGGTTGGAAGGCAAGAGGGCAGGAATCTCTAAAAGGAGTCAACGTCCAAAATAAATGCCCGAGGCGGCAATGGACGCCTCTCGGAATTAAAACTGCGGGGTGCATCAGTGCACTTTCGTCCGGCCTCGTGGGCATAAATGATTTGACATATCCTGTTGCGTGGTTACATATCCAGAGTACCCGTCCGTCCGGGTGTGTGGGAACGGGCGTAGAGTGACAAGGTCGAAAAGGGGTAGTGACATCTTGGAAAAGGGGAACTACATCCGGCATGTGCAACCCTAACCCTTGAACGAGCCTTGGGGAAGAGAGTGGAAAATGCTTGATAGGAAGTAAAAGACGCTGAACTGTGAGAGATTTGATGATGATTCTCCAGCAAAATTAGCAAAGAGCCTCTAAGGAGCTGTATTGTCCACTGCAATGCCGTGACTACCCCCGCCAAGCCGTCTCGGAAAGAGCCAGATGTGACGCCACTTGAAGCGCTCTCTATTCTCTCTCAAGGCTCAAAGTTTGACCCCACTCAGTCGGTCACTTACTCACTCACTCACATCCCCAACCGCTCATCTCAGCCCGATAATCTCACAACTGTCATCCAATCTTTTGCTTTCACGATGCCGAAACCACACGTCGACTACCACCTTTACTTGGTAACTGACTCCACACCCGCCGTGCTCAAGGACCCATCCCGGTTTTTTGATGCCGTTGAGCAAGCCCTCCGTGGAGGGGTGAGCCTCGTTCAGCTTCGCGAAAAGACGGCCGACACGGGCGAGTTGGTGTCTATAGCGAAGAGGCTGCATGAGTTGACCAAGAAGTATAATGTGCCTCTTTTGATCAATGATAGGGTGGATGTCGCGCTGGCGGTGGGGTGTGAGGGTGTGCATATCGGGCAGGATGATATGGGTGAGTTCTTTGAGGCGATATCCTTCTCATCTATTCGGTTGCTGACTTCGGAATGACAAACACAGATTTGGAGACGGCCAGGAAATTACTCGGTGACGACAAGATCATCGGAGTAACCGTCAGCAATGTGGAAGAGGCCCTCATCGCCTGCAAAAACGGAGCCGACTACTTGGGTATTGGCACCGTATACGCCACTCCGACGTGAGTAGCCTCCTCTTCGACTTGATGGTAGACTACTGACAAAATAAAGGAAAACAAATACCAAGGCCATCATCGGTGCCGCCGGAGTTCGTGAGATCCTCGCCGCCATGGAGACGGCCGGCTGCTACGACAAGGTCAGAACCGTCTGTATCGGCGGTCTCAACAAATACAACATCGCGCGTATTATGTACCAGAGCCGGCATGTTGATGGCAAGCCAGGGTGGCTCACCTTGAATGGTGTGGCTGTTGTCAGCGCCATCATGTCTGCCGATGACCCTGAGGAGGCAAGCAAAGAGCTTCTGACGCTGGTCAAATCATACGACAAGTTCAGGGGCAGCAGTCTGATGGGGGCTAGAGCGAGTAAGGGGGTGTTGGAGGTGGCGGGGGATATCATCAAGAAGGTGCATGAGGCCAAGCCATTGACGCACAATATGACGAATTTGGTATGTTTCCAAGCACATTCTGAGGGGAGATGATACTGACGAAGGGGCAGGTGGTACAAAACTTTGCTGCAAATGTCGCTCTGGCAGTCGGTGGCTCACCCATCATGGCTAATTACGGCGAGGAGGCTGCCGATTTGTCCAAGTTGGGAGGTTCGCTGGTGGTCAACATGGGCACCGTCACCCCCGAGGGGCTGCTGAACTATTACAAGGCGCTCCAGGCTTACAATGTGGCCGTTCAGCCGGTTGTTTTTGATCCTGTTGGTGCAGGGGCAACTTCAGTTAGGAGGGAGGCCGTCAGATCCATCCTCGCCAACGGCTACCTCGACGTCATCAAGGGCAACGAAGGCGAGATCAAGACGGTCTGGGGCGCGGTGGACGGCGAGCAACAAAAAGGCGTCGACAGCGTCGACAGTCTCACACCCGAAAACAAACTCGACCTTGTTGTGAAGTTGGCCAGGAGGGAACAGAGCGTGGTAGTGATGACTGGAAAGACGGACTACGTCAGTGATGGATATTCGGCTGTTACTGTCGCCAATGGACACGAATATCTGGGTCTTGTCACGGGAACGGGGTGCACACTTGGGACGGCGATCTCAGTGGCCTTGGCTGTGCACCATAAAGAGGACAAGCTATGGGCTGTGGTCACGGCGATGCTGCATTTCGAGATTGCGGCCGAGATTGCCGCTGAGAGGGAGGACGTCAAGGGGCCTGGGACCTTCATCTCGGCCTTCCTGGACGAATTGTACAATATCCGGACTGCCACTGTGAGTGGGGACATGAAGTGGTTGGAGAGGGCCAAGGTGACGGTTACGGACCTTTAAACGCAGGGCCAGGATGTAGGATAATGGCTCCATTCAGGGGCTAAACATAACCCTAACCCGGTGACATTCTACAAGTCGACTTACACGTTGATGAGATCTCTAAAGCCCTTCATGAAGTTACCCCCACTTAACATTTCCACATGTCACCAATTTTGAGATCGCCACCTCTTTTTATGCGGGGAAGGAAGGCAACCGGCATTGTCCCACCCCCGGAATCGTTTACCCCAACGTGCGTGCGTGTTAGTGTTGCGCCGCCGGCCGCGGCCGTCCCGCATGCTCGGCGTCGGTTCCGTTGCCCCGCTCTTTCTTAATCCTGTCATCGATCCGATGCTCCCTTTCCTATTTCTTTCATGGCTGGACAATTGAGTCATCATATCTTCTGATCTCATAATAATATGAGCTTGCGAGTTTGCTTCAAACCGACAATTACATCAACACTCGGGAGACAATTTACACCTTTAGCTTCAATCATCTCAACTCAGGCGAGATCGTATTCTATACTCAACAGGGCGACCATGTCTTCTCCTGCTCCGGCGCCGCAGAGGCGGTTTCGTATGTTTTACTCTTGAGACCCGTCATGAGGGAGCGTGTTGCTGATGATGATGGATTGATGTAGAAAACCCAGCTGTTTTGTATGTTAATTGCACATTACTCTCCCACCTCATCTCTCATGAACATGGCTATCGCCCACCCAGTTCTCACAATCGACTAACTCACCACAATAGCGTCTGCGACATCCAAGAGAAATTCCGCCCTGCCATCCACGAGTTCGACAAAGTGTAGGCACCCCCTTCATCTAGTTATGTAGCAAGTAATACTTACACCCCCCACAATAGAATCTCCACAACCTCCAAACTCCTCCGCGCCTCCACCGTCCTCTCCGTCCCCGTCTTCGTCACCACCCAAAACCGGTCCCGCCTGGGCGACACCGTCGCCGAGCTCAAACCCCACCTCGCCCGCACAACCGTCAAGGCCGATATCGACAAAACCCGCTTCAGCATGTTCATCCCCCCCATCCTCTCCGACCCCGTCTTCTCCTCCCCCGCCCAGGTCGCCATCGTGGGCATCGAGTCCCACATCTGCGTCACTCAAACTGCGCTCGACCTGCTAGCGGCAGGACATAAAGTCTACGTCCTGGCAGACGGCGTCAGCTCGACAAACAAGGAAGAGGTCCCCATCGCGCTTGCGAGGCTGAGGCAGGCCGGGGCGGTGGTCACGAGCAGTGAGAGCTGGATTTACGAGCTGATGGGGGATGCGGCTGTGCCGGAGTTCAAGGGGATTGTGAACCTGGTCAAGGATACGGGGAATGAGACTAAGAGGGCGTTGGGGGGGTTGGTGGGGAGTAAGATTTGATTTTTCTTTTTGATTTTGAATGAAGCTATATATAGTTGGGTAAATAAGCGCGTAGATGAAAGCAATATGTCCACACATGAGGTTGTTTGTCTCTCTCTCTCTCTCTCTCTCTCTCTCTCTCTCTTTTTTTTTTTTAACAAGTGCTAGATGTTTTGCTTTGAACGTGTCAAGGCTTGGACTATCAGTCTCTGAAGGCTTCTTCGCTGGGGCTTGGGGTGGTGCTATCGATCGATCAGGTAAAGTATGATAAGTAACGCACGTAGCTGTTTGTGAAAATAGTGTTGTAACCAACTGCAGTGGTTCCTCTCGACCTGGCCGCTGTTCGAGTAGATATGCTGTTGGGGGTGTGGAAAATGAAGACAGTGCTGATTGTCGAACGAAATGTAAAGGAGATGGATGCCCGCTTGATCCGGCTTATAAACAGACTACGAGCAACCATGAACTTTCTTGCGTTTCGGTACGTATATACTATAAACAGATGCCTATAGCATGATATTTATGGATGACGAACGAATTGCTATGTTTTATAACGAGGTATGCCGGGTTCCCCAGAAAAGCTGCCACGAGGACATCAAATGCCGAAAGAGTCTAGCCTTCTTAGCTCCTACTCTCTCCGCGGGACCACTATAGGGAGGTTTTGATCGTCAAGAAGAAGGTAAATAAAGCTTATACACGGGTTTCATCTCTTTCATGTGCGAGGATGATGAGGTATCATGCTTTTTCACGTGTTGAGCTTGGACTTGGTTCTCATGAAGCTCTTTGAGCTTTCTTCGTTGGGATTGCTGATACCATCCATTATAGAACATGGCAAGTAGCTGTTTATGGAAATGGTAAACCAACTTCAGTGACTGCACTGGGCCTTTGACCAAACAGTCCCAGTAAACCCCCAGCTTGTAGAAATACAAGATCCTACCTCTATCCCAATCGACAAGGTGCATCAACGGGCAGTGGGCGTCGACCGAGCTTTGGCCTTGTGCGTGTGATGGTATATGGGTGCATGATAACAGTGTTCCACATGCCGGTTCTTAGGATCGTCCTGGGGAATTGTATGGGAGGATGGGAATGAATTTGGTGGCATTGGATGAGATGTCTGATGGTATCAAAAAGAGCTATGATATCTCCAGTGGTCTAGGTACGTACCTGGAATTTCCATGCTTCCACCTATCCGGCTGTTTGGAGAAGCGGCTCGACCTTGACATACACACCACCTGGGGCCATAGCTGTTGAGATGGATCTGGGAACTCTACAGAAGAGAACGTGGATCATCAGGCGCAACGGCCTTCGTTCAGACTGTTTTATTTTTGCTTTTCTGCTCATAACTATCGTAGTTACTACTGCCGCTGCAAGCTCAATCACCCAGCTAAAACCACCGCCCGGTGCTGCCTGCTACCCCAAGGCGCACTAAACCCGGGCATTCAAGGCCATCCATTAGCAGCCAGTTTATTGCCCTTGATCTTCATCTGCCAAGCCAACCTCCTCATTATTCTCAGCAGCTCACAACAATCCTCTTCTTCTCCTTCTTCTTCTGTTTCTTGCCCTTTCCCTGATGCCGGCGAGTCTTCTTCCGAACGCCTATCTCCTAGTCAGCAGCGGCCGGGGTCTTGGGCTTGTTGGATGCGATCCACGAAAATGCCGACGCGCTTCCAAGAGGGTTGTTGACTGTCCGTGGAAGTGAAGGCGTCGTTTTACCCGCGTCATGGTGGCTACTGGTGGTAGGTGTGGTGATTGTTGACGTGAACGCAGCCGAGGAGACCCTCGTCTCCGAATTGAGGCTGCTGAGAGCTGGGCCGCTCATGCTGCGCTTCGACATACCCCAGCTATTCATACCAATGGGGGGTTGGGCGTCACTCTGGCCCTTGCGCCGTTGCTCATTTCCTGAACGTGCCGTCGGCGCTGGCTCATATGCCGCTCCTGTTCGTGCCGAGGATGAGGTGCTGCTGCTAGCCTTGGGTGGTCGAAGCACCTTCATAGAGCGCGTGCGGGGTGCTGGCTGGTAACCACTCAAGGGAGTGCCGTTCTCAGAAAGTCCTACCGCCGTCTGCCGCCAGGGTGTTCTGATAGCAAGGCTGGGTTCGCGGCGTGGGGCATCGGTTGTTGCGTGTGAATCCTTTCCAGACGTTTCCGTGCTCTTCGATTCCTGGTGCTGCTTCTCACTCTCCGCTCCACTCTCCGATGCGGTACTCGTCGCCGTCACAGGTTTGGACACAGGTTGGCTCGGCTGCGCGGCGGGAGACACTACACCCTCAGAACCACCCCCCATAGGCTTGGATACTGGACGCTCCGGCTCCGCCGCCACCTTGGGAGAGCGCCTTGCCGTTTTGTCACCAGCAACAAACTCGGGTGCGGCAGCGTTGAGCTTCGGCTTGCCTGGAAGCAGGTTGGCTGTAGTCAAATGCTTGAATACGGCATCGTCCTCGGGCCGCACAAACGGAATCGAAAGCTTGTTCCGGTCATTGCCGTACAGAGTCATGCAGTTTTGGGACAGCAACAGGTCGGCACTGAGAAGCCGCAGCGTGTGGCTGCCGATGAACACACGGATCGCTCTTTTGGTCTCGGGGCTGTCTTGTTGGTCCATGCCCGTGACTTCAAAGTTGGCTGTGATACTAGGCAGCTGTGATGCAGGACTTCCGCCGCGGGAGTTGGACTGGGTAACCCGGGCCTCAGCCAGAAAAACTGGCAGTGTGATTCTGTGAGCACCATCCACATCCCGATGGATGTTGTTGACCAGGTCCAGATCTCGAAGCAGCGAGTACTCAACCGTCGATTTTTGAGACCCAGTGCACACCACGGCATACAACAACCCTTCGGACGTGAAGTCGGTCGTGATCCAGCAGCGGATAATGGAGGGGGCAGAGCCCAAGACATAAAAAACGGGTGGGGGCTCGGGGATATCTAAGGGCGACTCATCGTCGTCACGGCCCCCAATCACAAAGTTGGTATCCAGTCCGAGACTGCTGGCTCTCCCAGAAATTCCAGAGTGGACCGAATGTCCAGCGGAACTATGTCTGCCATCCGACTTGTGAGAATATGTCCGTTCCAACTGGTGTCCTCCCATCCCGCTCGACGGACGTATGGGACCAAAGTCGTTGGAGTGGCGAATGGCATGGCCTCCAAAGCCGGCACCGTGCAGGGCACTTTCGTCGAACCGCACGCTATTGGCCCGCGAAGCAGCCCCTCTGCGTATCGGTTCGTCCTCGGCATCGAGCTGCAAAGTGCCTAGCAGGGTCTGACTCTGTTCGTCGTCAATGTCGCTGAAGTCGGCCGACGGCATATGGGTGGGCCCTATCTCACGATTAGCATTATGTCTTCCCGACTGTTTAATCATAGACACTGACCATGCTGAGGCGTTCCCCCAAGCACGCTTGGAAAGGGAGGATTCCAGCATGACTTCAAGGCCGCATCATCAGCCTGACGTTGCTCAATGAGCCGTAGCCGTTCCGAGTGATGGTGCTGTATGTTCTGAACACGCTTCAGCTCCATCTGAACATCGTGGAACTCTTCGCGTGAGACTATGAAGACCGGCTCCATGCCCAGACAAGAATGTAGGAGAGACTCTGAGAGGATTCTGAGAATCGAATGGATTCGTTCTAGCACGCAACAGCCGGCGGGGGGCCCCCCCAAAACATTATTTTTTTTTTTTTTTTTTTTTTTGATATTAAGAGTGTGTGTTTATATATTAATATAATAATTAAAAAAAAATATAATTTATTAATATTTAAATAATAAATATTATTAATAAAAATATTATAATATTTAAATTTATAATAAAATATAAAAAAATAATATTAAATTTATAATTTT